TTGGCTTATTCACTGCCCATCATCAGTCCTACTGAAGTTTTCCATTGATCTGGGCTCCTTGTTCCTCTGAGCCCCATATAATGAGTTGGTCATGTTAGCTTAGCTTTACCTACAAACCAGTCAACTTTTGACTGTTTGGGGACTTGTTGCTAATCTGCACCCATTCCATTCTTTTAGCGCCTCTCTCATATTCTCTTTTACTTGTTTTTTAAGTGTTCTCATCACTTGCTGCAACAAATAAGGGAGACCAAGTAAAAGTAAAATTTAGTTTATTTATTTGTTTTTTAGCACTAATGAGAAACAAAACACATTGTAGGTTTTAAAAAGTTATTTATAATGTCTCAATTCAGTTTACTAGGAAGTATAAAGAGAATACAAAATCCCAAAGTCGTTAAATACATTGCTTAGGGAGGTCTCTGGTTAGATTTATTTCTTCATACTGTTATGAATGGTGAAGAAATGACTGTATTTTTTAATAAAAAAATTTTTAAGCAATTTATATAAGAAGGTGTTTAGCCTTTTTAGGCTTCCCTGGTAGCTCAGACAGTAAAGAATCTGCCTGCAATGTGGGACACCTGAGTTCAATCCCTGGGTCGGGAAGATCCCCCAGAGAAGGGTATGGCAGCGCATTCCGGTATTTTTGTCTGGAGAGTTTCGTGGATAGAGGAGCCCAGTGAGCTACAAACAGTCAAACATGACTGAGCAACTAACACTAGCCTTTTTAGTCATTTATTCTATTCTCTATATTTAAATTCATAGGAAATTCCTCAGAGATATTTCAGTGATCATCAAAATAAACCACTAATGACCATCAGTAAGGGAAACCACATTTCTAATTCATAAAAATATTTAAATTTCTCTAGCCTTTTTAGTTCTCTGAGAGAGATGTCCCATTAACTCTTAAGCGTGTAAGTACTTAAGTGATCTTAGCATAAAAATTAAGAAAATTATCACTTCGCTTTCAGATTGGAAGCATAAGCAGAAAACATTGTTAAATAATCAATTAGATATGGAAGCAACTGCATATTCCAAATAGACCTATCATAATACCTGTGGTGGTTATTAATTTTCAATGTGAATCAGGAAAAAAGGGGGGGTAAGATGTTTCTTCATTGGGTTTATGGTGGGGGATTGGTAGGCTATTTTCATGATATTTAGTATTCTTGTTTATATATGGGTTACAGAGCTGTTTCAGGACTGTAGCAACATTTTGGCCGGAGTCCCAAAAGAGACAAGTGTTTTCCTTAATGGGGAGGCATTTCTCAAATAGCTGTATGGCAAAGCAGAAGCATTTGAGGCTTTTGCTTTGGTCTTTGTCATCTCATTCTAGTTTTACCATCAATTTGGTTTTGGTGCACTCCTTCAACAGTTGTGAAAACATCAGAAATTTTTGAGCAGATAAAGATCAGATTAAAATTCTCTGATAAGATAGTCCATTTACAAGACCTACTCCTAAATGGGAAAAAAAAAAAAGTGCATATATATTCCTAGTTTAGAAAATGTAAAATGTAGAGACGTCCCTGTTGGTCCAATGGGTAAGACTGCATGCTCCCAATTCAGGAGGCACTGGTTCGATCCGTGGTCAAGGAACTAGATCCCATGTGCCACAACTAAGAGTTCTCTGTGGCCCCAACTTAAAAAAATAAAAAATCCTGCATGCAGTAACTAAAGATCCTGCCTGCTGCAACTAAGACCCAGCACAGCTGAAAAAAATAAATACCTTTTTTGAAAAAGAAAAGAAAATGTATACCCTGGCATTCCATTAAAACTCTCAAGTCTGACTATCATGAACTATATGATTAGGATTTTATCTCTCTTCTCCCCATTTATTTCTGACAGACAAAGTGAGGTAATTACGAAACTTGTGTTTAAAAGGAAAGCATTCCATCAGGTGGGGCAAATGACTTAGGTAATGTTTAAATAAAACCCTTTTCCAGCTTTTGAGACACCATGGTGAGAGAATGCTCCACAAAATGGGCAAGTAGAAAGTTGTCATTTAGTGAAAGTTAGCAGCTGAGCTAATTGGCAGACTTTGGCAAAGATGACGGGATTTGAAAGAGAAAGTGCTGCCTTTGGTTTGTCAGGTAGTGACAGAGTTCCCGCGATAGGTTCTGTTCTTGAGAGGAAATTAATTTCCTGTAATCAAATGCTGTGGATTATAGTCTTCGTCGCCTTCTGCCTTGGCCACAGAAGCGACTCCAAGGCGTTTTAATTTGGCAACATTACATGCGCTTTTGTAAAACAAGCAGGGATATATTCAGCATACAAAGGTTTCACCTGCTACATTTTGTAGCTCCAGAGCTTATTGCTTCTTTGAAAGCTGTTCCTTTGTTAGTGACTATATCTGTAAGGCTTTATTTGGGGAAGGAAAGCAAAGTGACGGCAAGAAACCCACATTTGGCAGATGAAATCTTGGTTATGTTTGAAAGTGGAATTACGAAGCAGTATGGTGCTAAGTGATAGATAAATGGTCCCCAATAGCTAATAGGGACTTTTGTAGAAGTATTTTAAAACTCACTAATAATAGTGTAATAAAAGTACCATTTTAGTCTTCGTGAAATGTTCAATTTCTGGTGTGTGTATATATACACACAAAACCTTCCACATATACACACATACATATATTCAATCTTGAGATTATGTAAATTCATTCTGCATAATTTACAAAGAATATCATTTTGAAAATTATAGAATTTTTAATTCATTACATCTGAAAAGTTATCTTTTTTCTGTAAGAAAAGGGAAAAGATGGAGATTCAGAGAAAGAGAGAAAACATGAGAGAAACAAGAGAGAAAACATAAATCCTTAGAGAAACATGACCTGGGATCAAAGATGGGATAGAATACTACCTGTCTATAGTTCCTTTCTTCTAAGTTGTTTTAAATAATAAGTTTATAAGGTAAAAGAAGAGAACTGTTCCCCTCTCCTCCAAATCTGCAAGCTAATCCCCAGGACTTTTTCTCCCTATCTGTGACTGACTAAGCCTTGGAGAAAAGTATGAGTGCCCCCGCAATCCACTTCTTGTACCCAAGGAAGAACTTTATATTTTGGAAAGACATAATGAGAGTTTTATCAATTGAATAAAAGTGAGGCAGTCAGCCCTTTATTTATGATCATCTGCTAGGTACTGAATTTTGAGTCAAAATCATTCTAGATAGTCTTTACAGCATGTAAAAATATTTTCTTACTTTCTCCTCTCAAACTTGGTCTTGGTGATCACTCAACCACTGCCAGTAAATTAATAATATACATATGTATTTATGTAAACAGACAAACCTTCAAAAGTAAAGGAGATCAGTTCTGTTTTAGTTTGTACAATTGTGAGTAATGCTCACTTCCGCAGCACATATACTAAAATTGGAACGATACAGAGATTAGTAAGACACCAGGGATGACACAAATTCATGAAGCCTTCCAGAGTTTTACAAACATCTCATTACAGCTCAATCTCAAAAAAATAAACAACCCATTAAAAATTTGGGCAGTAGACCTAAACAGACATTTCTCCAAAGAAGACATACAGATGGCCAACAAACACATGAAAAGATACTCAACATCACTATTAGAGAAATGCAAATCAAAACTGCAATGAGCTATCACTTCACATCTGTCAGAATGGCCGTCATCAAAAAATCAACAATCAATACATTCTGGAGAGGGTATGGAGAAAAGAGAATCCTCTTGCATTGTTAGTGAGAATCTAAGTTGATACAGCCACTATGGAGAACAGTATGGAGTTTCTTTTAGAAAGTAAAAATAGAACTACTATATGACCCAGCAATCCTACTACTTTACCCAGAGAAAACCATAATTCAAAAAGACATGTGTGCCCCAGTGTTCACAGCGGCACTATTTACAATAGCCAGGACATGGAAGAACCTAAATATGCATCAGCACGGGAGTGGATAAAGAAGATGTGGTACATGTATACAGTGGAATATTACTCAGCCATAAAAGGAACAAAGCTGAATCATTTGTAGAGACATGGATGAACCTAGCAACTGTCATACAGAGTGAAGTAAGTCAGAGAAAAACAAGTATTGCATATTAATGTGTATATGAGGAATATAGTAAAATGGCATAAATGATGATATTTGCAAAGCAGAAATAGAGACCGAGACTTAGAGAACAAATGTATGGATACCAAGGGGGATAGGAGGAAGTGGGATGACTCGGGAGGTTGGGATTGACATATATATAGTATTGATAAAATATATATGATATAAGAACCTACTGTATAACACAGGGAGCTCCACTCAGTGCTCTCTGGTGACCTAAATGGGGAGGAAATCCAAAAAGGAGGAGATATATGTATATAGAAAACTGATCCACTTTGCTGTGCAGTAGAAACTAACATTTTAAGTTGGAGTATAGTATGTAGAGTATAATAGGTAAAATTAATTTCTAAAAATTGTGACTAAAATAACACTTTTAAAAGCAGGCAGTTTGACTCTTCAAAATGCCTGTTTCATCTTATTGTTCAATACTGTATTCATTGCAATAGGAGGCAATGTGATTTCTGAAGTAATCCTAAATTTAGCTGTCCTGTTTCAGTCAAGAGTTAGCCATAAGCGGTCTGTATCAACATCAATTTGATTCTTAAAATGATTATTCTCTAATATTATAGAGTCCTTATGATGCTATACTTTTATTTTCCATGTTGAATTTATTGCTTTTCATCTAACCCATCAATGTGGCCCTTTAGAACTACATGGAGCTAATCTGGAGCTACACTTACAACACCCTATAAACAAAAGTGATCTGTGAAAAAGAAAAGATGGTAACAGATCGCTCTCTCAATGGTATGATTCATAGTCCCTAGTTTTTAGTGACCACCAGGTGTAGGCATCACTATACTTACTAGCTTCAGTATCCTTTTTCAAGAGCAGTAGGCACAGGCACTATCCATTAGGCATGAAAATAGATGGTAAATGTGACCCTCTGACCTTCAGGAAACTCCATAATCACTCGGTGTTTTTTCTCACCCTCTTTCCTACAGCCAACCCGACACGGGCAGGCGGGAGAGAGCCGTACCCGGGCTCGGCAGAAGTGATCCGGGAGTCCAGCAGCACCACGGGCATGGTCGTGGGGATCGTAGCCGCTGCCGCCCTGTGCATCCTCATCCTGCTCTACGCCATGTACAAGTACAGAAACCGGGATGAAGGCTCCTACCACGTGGACGAGAGTCGAAACTACATCAGTAACTCAGCACAGTCCAATGGGGCTGTTGTAAAGGAGAAGCAACCCAGCAGTGCTAAAAGCTCCAACAAAAACAAGAAGAACAAGGATAAAGAGTATTACGTCTGAGCCCAAGATCTGAAAAAGGACCCTTGTATAGAAATAGTCTTCATTTTATCCAAGACATAATATAAACTTATTTACTTTCCTTTTTATGAAGCACATACAAAAGAAGACAGGGAATGCAATCAGGAAGGAAAGACTGTTTTTAAAAAATAAAAACAAGTATCTCATGCTCTTGTTTCTCCAAAAAAGAAAAAAAAAAAAAAAAAAAATATGTCAATAAATTCCTTAACATCCACAGTGTTTTAATTTACTCTGCCTGTCTTTATGTTGCTGGAACATTTCTAAAAGACAGTGATGACCACATGCATTTTTTATGAAGCACATACAAAAGAAGACAGGGAATGCAATCAGGAAGGAAAGACTGTTTTTAAAAAATAAAAACAAGTATCTCATGCTCTTGTTTCTACAAAAAAAAAAAAAAAAAAAAAAAAACAGGGGCCAATAAATTCCTTAACATCCACAGTGTTTTAATTTACTCTGCCTGTCTTTATGTTGCTGGAACATTTCTAAAAGACAGTGATGACCACATGCATTCATAAAGCAAAGGAGTATTACAACATCGGGAGGTACAACACAAAAACAACACAAATCACAACACAGAAAAAGAAGCTACCTATGATCCCAGATTTAGCCAAAGTGCTAGCGCTTTCCTGAGAAATCAGTTAGTCTGATGGCCAGAGAAGACTGTCATGTTGAGTGGCTCCACCTGCAAACCTTTTCCGAGCTCACCGCCTGGCACAACTGGAACAGTGGCTGAAACGAACTTGCACTTGAAAAGAAGTGCTGACTCTTTTGAAGACTTGTGTAGGAACACATTCAAAAAGCCTGTTTCTGGTTGTGAGGGAAAAGAAAGTATGGAGGCCTTATTTTCAACAATGTGAAAGATAAGGCACATTTTCACACTAAAATTTCAAAACAGAAACAACAACAACAAATAAACAAGAAGGTATAGATGCAATCATTGGGAAATTTTCATGCACGCTTAATATGTTATTACATATGTTTATATAAAATCCATCTCTGTGTGCTTTCTGGACTGTGATAAGTGATGTTTTATAGCCTGTTGTATAGAAAATGCAAACTATATCTCTGCTCTTCAGCCCTTTTTGGTAAATTCAATGTTATAAGTGTTGCTAACTATAGGGAGTTTTATGACATCAGATCATCAATAATTCAGGGTTATTTTTTTTTTCTTTTTTGCCACCATTATAAATTGCCACAATTACTTAAATTTTTTTTAAAAATTACAATGTAGTGTTTATTCTAAGGAAGATATGTATGAATGTATATAAAAAGACTCAGCTACTTTTTTTTCCTTTACATGTACAGCCTTCATTCTGTTGCAATTAAGTTTTAGTATTTGTATGAAAGGTGTGGATTAGAAGGCAAACTATATACATATGTATCTTATAATCTTCTTTACTCCCCCAAATACTCAATTTCCCACATACATTCCCATTCATGATCACAGATATGTGCGCACCCGCGCGCGCGCGCACGCGCACACACACACACACACACAAATCCAGAGGAATCCGACAGAGAGGATGGAAGACCCAAACATACATATAATAGAAAATATTTACTGACAAATTGAAAAGCAGGAAGGAAGATAGTTGTGCCAAGATATTGATGACAAATGGGGTGATTTGCTTCACTGAGATATGCTCCCAGGAAACTTCCAGAAGATTTTAGTCCCTAAAGAAATGGAACCTTTTCTTATCAAGTAAACTATCACTGGTATATTGCTGCATGAATATGAACCATTAAGTGGGCAGGTTGCAGAAGCAAAATTGATTGATCTATACCTTAACCCTGGCTGCTACAATTGAAAACTTTGTTTCCAATAAAATTATATATATAGTCTCTGAACCTGATGTGCATGATAAACATTTTTGGAAAGTAAACACTTTCTCAACTAAAAAAGTATTTTCAGTAATTTTTGATTCTATATTACTATCCATTTAAGAAAATCACTATCTGTTGATTATTGACTATAATTTAACTTTTCTGGTTTTACATATATATCATTAAATATAGCTTTAGTTTAACACACATTAAGTAGTGGAAACATATAGATTATACGCTTGTTTTGCATATTGTTTCAATGATGTTCATAGCAATAAATTATTAGTCTGAGAAGGCAATGCAAAGGAAATGCAATATTAGATTGGAAGGTGATGTCTCAGTAAAAATTGGTTGCATTACTTTAACATCTCCTAAAAGAATATTAGATTTTATAGAAGAGAAGAATAATTTTACAATTTGCTTTAATCAGAAAAGGCAAAAAAATGCAAAACATCTTTTGTGATACTTCAGTTGATGAAAAAAGCCAAGAAATGGCCTGGCTTACAGACATACAGCACCTTAGATATATGTATAATTCACAGCAAATCACCACCATCTATGGTTGCCAAGTAATTGTCATATATGAAAAGTCCTAAAGGCTTTTCATGACCCAGAAAGTAGAGGTATGAAACTAAAATTTAGTATTGATTACTTGTGTTTCAGATTTTCTTCTTTTTTAATTTGCCAGGTTAAAGAATTCATAAATTTCTTTGTAGTTGCTGTTTTCCTCTCATCCAGTCTTACTCAGGGAAAGCCAGTGAAACAGAAGGTAAATATAAAACCACTCATTTACATCTTGAGGTTTGAAAGAAACAGTTGCTTTTCCATTTGATCTACTGAACTTGAACTAGTTTCCATCCGGAAAGATTCTAAATTGTGATCAAAAATAACTGAAATAATGGTATTTTTAAGCAGTATATCTCTGAAGCATGTTGTTTGGAATTGATTTCAGTGTTTCTTTCCAGCATAAATTTTAAAATTTCATGCAATATTTTGGTAAAAATATTTCCAATGTAATGGCCTACACGAAATCTAGCAATTTTTTTTTCTTGTTTTCTTCTTTCTTTGTGAATGGACAAAGAAAAGAGAACAGAATCTAGGGAGAGAAAAGGCATGAATGAAATCCCAAGTATCTTCATACCAAATGTATCAGGGTTCCATGTGTAGTTGGCAGTTAATAGAGGATTTCACACTACCTGGCATAAATTTGATTACATCTCTAGACTGAAACTTTTCTGATTGAGTATGCTTCTTTTTTAATCCATGTTATGTGTTGCCTTTTTTTAAAAAAAAAAAACAAAAAACAAACACTACAATAACGCGTGAGGTGGTCAATCCCTAAGACATCAAAGAAAGGCCACGTGACCCTACCCTTCTAGTGCTTCGTGTGATTGGGTATCTAAGGGTTTGGTTTTGTTTTGTTTTTCTGTTGCAAGGCCAACTTATCCATTATTGGAAATGCTAAGCAAGTGGAATTTACTGTTTTGTTAATAAAATATTTCTTAATACAATGGTGGTTTTATTGATTTTTTTTAAAAGTAATTGCGACACCCTTTGGGGACAAAGTGGCACCATAAAGAAGACTGCATTTGAAAGGAAAACCCATCCTTAGACAAGCAGAGGAAAACTACCGACCCTGTGTTTTCTGGATTTTAATATTTATTAAATTAAGTACCACTAGCCTGGCATACTTTAAGATGCAGCCACTAAATACACCTTTGTTTGCGTCTTTTTCATCTTGCTGTGCGTGAGACCGCAAACTCCTGGAATGAGCCGAAAACAGCATGAAAGTGCTCATTTCATAAGTGTGTTTTTTCCCCCATAAAAAGGAATATAATTCTGGTTAAGTAAATTTGTGATCACATTTACTTAGTTGTGATTCCTTACTTCTAGGTTCTTAGAGCTTCCTCTCATTGGTTCTGATTCTCTTTGTGCAAAACAGAATGTACCCCACATTCCACATGACCACCTTTCCAATATTGTCATCCACCTTCCGTGCTTGGCAGGGTTTTCTCTTCTTCAGTCTTAACCTTCTAGTTTCCCTTGGCTGTTACTTAAATTATATGGATGCTTAAGTTCTCATAATCTTAATACTCTTCTCTTGAACCTCTGTTCTTCTCAAAATGTGATATAGAAATGACCATATGGGGGGGTGTTTTTAATATATTTATTTATTTGGCTACACTGGGTCTTAGTTGCAGCATGCAGGATCTTTAGTTGTGGTATGAGGGAATTTTAGTTGTGGCACGTGAGAATTTTACTTGTGGCATGTGAGATCTGGTTTCCTGAGCAGGAATCAAACCTGAGTCCCTTGTGTTGAAAGCGAGGAATCTTAACCACTGGACCACCAGGGAAGTCCCGAGCATAGTGTTTTTAAGACCAGATTACAATGGGTTTATCACCTTCCTTGATTTGAACTTTATTCTCTATGATACTAACATTTGGAGTTTTAATTTTTTAAAGAAAAATCTTACAGAATTTGCAATCAACTGCCATCAGATTTCTTTCCAAGACAAGTTTCATTTGTATTTATAAAATTGATTATTTAGCTTAAATGCAGGCTCTAATTCTATCCATGGGAAACTCATTGTATTCAGTTGTGCAGTATTGACTGTATTCAGTTCAATTATATTGAATACTAGCCAGCTGAGATAAATTTTTATCTTGCATCTCTCACATGCAGTCCTCTGACACAAAATCATTGCAAATTTTAGACACATTTAGTGAAAATATGTTCACTAGGAAAGATATTAGGCATGCTTCAAGGGACTGCCTTCTAAACAGTGCTTCTTAGCTGGGTTGGGTAGGGAAGAGGAAGTACTGAGTTGGTTGACTAGATGGGTGGGAAGTGCTACACACACGTACAGGGTGGAGACTGGGGATGCTGGTAAACAACTTATAATGCACAGTAAAGCCTCCCTCAACCAAACAGTTATCTTGTCCAAAATGTCAACATCACCAAGGTTGAAAGGGTAACACATACCAACTAGTTAGAATAATATCTATCAACTTGTCAGTCAACTTGTGTGTGCATGTTTATCCTTGGGTTAAGTCCATGCAAAAATATTAGAGAAAAAATTCAGTGAGGAACAGAGATTAAAATACATCCTGCCATGGACCTCTTCAAAAGTGCAGGCAATTGCAATGAGGGGAAGAGGGCAATAACCAGTATGACTTTTCAGTCTCCTGGTGATCATTAGCTGTTGGAGAAATTCTTGCTCACACTAACCAGTGAATGACTAACCCAGGATCATTTTGGTTGGTTCTACCTTGGCACAAATAGTAAAAATGATCCCCCCAAATATGGTTGGAATGACAGGGTTCAGACTGACAATGACATTACAATCATAAGGTTCTAGAGGATGTGGGTGGGATGTGGGTGCCTGATGCATTGAAAATAAAGAGAAGTAATAGGATCAATAAAGCCAAATGTTAGTCTTGGAAAAGACCCATCAAATGG